CCAATGCTAGGATAGTCGAGGCCGCCAACAACGTCGAAACATCAGAGCGCGAATCGCGCCGCCTCGTCAGTCAGGCAGAGGGTCGGGTTCGTGAGCTTGAGGTGGAGCTCGAGCAAGAGGCCAAAAAGTCACGGGACCTCCTTGCCAACTACAGGTAAGTCCGCTTCCTGCGCATTCCAAAGTGATGAGTGCATTGCCAATAAGGCATTTATAATAAGCTTTTAGTAAGAATCTGTCGAAATAAGCAGTAATACTTGGAAAAACTCTTGGTCACTGAGGAAGCATTTAAGAAGATTTCATGACTGATAACAAAGTTAACCGCCAAGGAAATGGGTGTCATTTTATTTAAAACCTACTTATATCAAAAATAAGTAGTACATTTATTTTTAACGAAAAATACAAGATGTTGATCTCACTTCCATTTTGATAGACACCGTATGGTGAAGAGATTCGATAGGAGGCAAAACTAAGCGCAATTTAATTTCGTCGTTGAGTCTACCCACAGTAATTCAGAAAAATTCCACTTTTAGTCCTTAAATAACCTTAGATTACTTGGGGTGACAGAGCACTTAAATTTTATTTGGTTATATTTAAGAATAAAGTAAGTTTTGAAGAACTCTTCAATAAATTCATACTTTTGTACCACTCATTTTCTTTCTAAATTGGGGGGGGAGCATTCGCAAATTGTTTTTTTTTGGAATCCGGACTGAAATTTACTGCTGTTGTGACTGTGGAATTTCGGCACCCACTCCTCACCGCTCCGTTTTGCTATCTCGATGAATCAGAATTAGGCTTTCGTTTATCATTTAGCAACACTTGAGCTCATTTCTACTTTTTATCAAAGTTTATGATGAAAATATTAAAAGGCTGATGGCACCAGAAGATGACGGTGAATTCCACTTGACTTTAGGGAAAATTCCGATTGACCAACTTCTGGAGGCAAACCCCTTCGTCTCCGGAGGCAATGGGATAAGTCTTTATCACGCCGGGTGGCATATGAATTGGATAGTCTTCTTATATCTACTTTAAGCTAATGGATCATGCCAGAAAGTTTGCCAACCGTTAAGCTTGAGGAAATTGCAAAAATAGTAACCAGCTTAGATGCTTCTTGTCAAACGGCATGATAGGCGATAGTTTATCCAATTTTGTTTTTCAAGCTTAGGAGAATGTCTTCAGAATTTAGTCAACCTTCGTCAACTTTCGTCAATGTTCGAATACAGCCAAACGATAGCTGACCATCACCATCGTCTTCTGGTAAGAATGACCTACGAATCTCTGCCCACGTCGGATCGACATCAGCGCTAAACCTTACTCCGCTATGCGTCACAAAATAACGTTCTTATAATCAGGTTGGACTATAGTTTCGTTTTCACACTATCTTTTATACAGCACATCCAAGGGATTGGAACAGTTTAGCATATCCACGGTTCAAATCTTGTCAGGTGCTGTTAAGGCATACGGACTAGTTCGAAGCTGTAGTCTGGTCTGAATATGAGAATGGCCTTTTGTGATGCATGGCAAATTAAAATTCTTTATGCAAAAATTAAGCCTTCTCTTAATCTCATCGTTATCAGAAACGCCACTAGTCTAATAAGGAAACTGATTGAAAGTGCAACATCCCGAAAACAATCAGGGTCTTGAAAGAAAGAGAGCAAAAATCCCACTTAGCTCAAATAATTAGTTCGAGCCTCGCTATCTATACTTTGTACTAGTTCTTTATGGATTTGGTGTCTTGAATTAATTTTCCAATTATCTACCCCTTCAGGCACATTTTTATTCAACTTTCTTGCCGTAACTTTCGAATCGAGCCATAGATACCGTCTGGCATGAATGCATAACGCGCTTGAGTGCCTTAAAGGCCTATTGAAAATGCTTAGAGGGCTGCGTATTTATTTCTGCATCAAAACCCAAACGGCCATTATCAACCAAGATATCATCAGGTCTCCTCTGCAGTCTCTCGCAAACGGATTTGTTATCAACAAGTCGTAATAACAAAGGCATATAGTCCCCAAAACATCCACAGACCATTGCATCAGACATTTTTTAACAAAAAAAGCAGTAATTCTCGTTGAAGCGATGCTTAGTTTGTTCTAATATTCATTCTCTATTTCAGAAAAACCGAACGAATTGCCAAAGAGACGGTTCAGGCTCACGAAGAAGAGAAGCGCCTGGTGGTTGAACTACGCGATGTGCTGGACAGAAACCAGGCCAAGATGCGCCAACTACGAAGGCAACTAGAAGAGGCCGTAAGTGTCAAGAATCGCTGATAGTCATCATATTTTATGTTAAACACACATTTTTGCCTATTTCGGACACCGGAATGTGGCGATATTGTTAAAGCAAGCTGGCTTCGAATGCGTTCATTCTATACGAAAGTCTTTTATATGAGTGAATTTAAAACTAAAATTCAAACAAATCTACGATACTGACTTTAAAGAGGTTCAAGTGAAGAGGCGAATTATCAGGCGCCTCTGGTTTGAGAGTTCATTCAGAGGATAGAAGAGAAGTCTAAAAATATGCATTGATAAATCAGGAGAGCAGATGAATCCGAACTTAGTAAAGGCCGGTTTTATCTTATACTCATATCTTCAAGTTGACCCTAACTCGAACAGAAGCATTGTGCCCTCAATATTTTATTCTATTTATAGAACATTTTCGCTGAACAAATCGATTGTTTCTCTTAGTGATACCATGTAGAGATACAAGATAAGAAAAAACTTGAATAAAGTGATAAAATTATGTTAAGTAAGAAATTGTGTTTTCATGGTAAATTGGTTTTGAGATCCTCACTAGATCTTTAATAATAGATCTGGTCAGCCAAGTTCGCATAAACTGATGAAGGACGAATGACTGAACTACTTCGTCATAAGATATTAATGAATTCCACTTTGCCTTGTCTCATAAAGGTTATTATAATTTAAGAAGGTTCAATAATCACCCTCAACGACCTATTCATCTATCAGCTTTATGGCGAATTGAACCCTTATTCAAAATCTACTAGTCTCGACAACTACTTGTCATTTAAGTAAGTAGTTCAGTCATTTGCAATGACAAAATATCAACTGACCTCATAGACCTTCCCTTCATCGAAAGTTAGGGGTTCAGATGAGACCTAGGCGAGGTCAAAACTGCAGTCTAGTCCAGACTGGATGAGAATATATTTTGGAAAGGAGGGCTAGATTAAGTTTAATGGTAGTTTTCGGTCTAATCATACACTCGGATCAAGTTTAACTATTGGTCTTTCATCACCTTAAGCAACCTTTGGTGACTTAAATACTTTAATGAGAAATTGCATTTTTGGACAAAATAAGTAACATAGAAGAAAGTTTGCATGCTTTACACAATTTCAAACGAATAAGCTTATAACTAAGGTGCCTATAGAGGCAGTAAAGATTAGACTCAAATTTTTCCTCAAGCAGGGAATATGAAACTGAGGCTGAGGGATGCTAAATGTGAAAATACTTCTTCAGTGTGAAGCTAGGCCTTCGAAAGTCTGTAGTCTGCTCAAATTTCGCAAAGAAATGGCCCTGATTGGGGTTACTGTAAGCAATAGGGGTTGACTGTTACACAAACCCTAACAATTTATTAATAAAAATTTGAAAAAATTATGCAGAAAAACTGCTTCTCGAGGAATTTCTTAATAGTTCGTCTCATCAGATGCCGAAGGAGCATTGATTTAGAGCTTTGACTGTAGATTTTTTCGAATAAGTCCTCAGCTCACCGTCTTGCGACTCCGATGAATCCTTGACGAATGTACTTCCGTCATGTGCCCTGTTTGGGGGAGTATAGCAAAGCATAGTGTCATACTTTGACGATGCCGACCTTTGCGAAAGGAATAAAAAGTATGTCAAAATTAATCTGGCAGATGAGCAACTGATAAAACTTAGAGACCTGTCTATAGGCTACAATGTGTTGTCGATCAATTCTAACATTCCTGTAATCTTAGCAGGACAGCACAGACTTTAGAAGTGGCATTATATCAGCACCAAGAGACTAGCGAGTCTAAAATGTTTGGCAAAGAGCCAATCATAGGATTTATAAATTTAGTATTTAACAGTACATATTTGTTTTAACGTTTCTATAATGTGGACAAGTATGAGATTTGGTTATGGGATAGTGCTTGGTCTCGAGTTTGGACAACAACTGCATAGCTGCTATTCCCATGCTAGTGGCAATTATAGGGAAAAATACTTTTCAGCTTGTCATCATGACAAATAGCGTAAAGATATTCTTTTATTAATGAATAGCATAAATGAACGAAACGGTTATGGGGTAAAGCTAGGAGTCATGGAAAAAATTAAAACAATTCTGCATTTAGCAGACGCAACTTACTGCGATGGGGAGCTTGTTGAATTAGGAAAGATTAAAATTTACAACACTTATCTTTTAGGATAAATTCTCAGTTAGTTAATCTAATTCTGGGATAGGTTAGGTGAAATGATGACACAACTCCACTTCGACTCTGAGCTCTTCCTTCGGTTAGCTCTTGATTATGCCCTCTTTGCAGGATGATTTCGACCCTCTCCTCAGCTCAGGTGGTGATAGGGTGTTTGTAGTGTGGTCGTGACTACGCTGGGCAAATATTTAGACCCATACATCAATAGAGGTTTAACCTACAGAGGTTTACGAGTTAAGAACAAATAGCAAATACATTCTACCAAATGTTAGGGTCTAAAATTAAAAAATGTTGCAGAATATGAAGACTTGACAGGTTAAAGGGAATGATAAGAAATGAAATATAAATTATTAATGTAACTCACAT